GTTACCTAGTCGGGTAACGAAACATCTGCAAGAAAACAACCAAGCTCAGAGAACAGCAGGGACTACACACACACACATACACACACACACACACACAGACACAGAGTTTATAGTATGGAATATCCTGGATCTTCATCTGGTATTTGAAATTTGAATTTAAATTTGGTAATTGGGGTAGAAGTTTAAACCTGAAGTTGGAGGCTTAAATTGCTTCCCTGAAAGTTAGTTCTACTGAAGTCCCGAAAACTTGAATGCAGATTATAAATGTTAAGAATCAGAGTCTTGGCATGTTGAGTAAAGCAGTAACAAATATTTGCCAAAGTAATAAGTTGTCCTTTTTTTCTAGTGCCATAAGGTTGCAGTAGTGAGAGAAGATAAACTAGAAGGTAAGTTTGTACAAAACTTCAAAATCATCTAAAAAAAAAATGATAGCATATACAAACTTTTGTCTTTAGTTCATGACTTTAGATAGCAATTAATAGTTCTCTCAGAATGTCCATTTCTGATCCATCTCACTTTGGGTATTGCATTTCTTCTGTCGTTTCTAAGGTTTCTGGAGTTTAAATTTTAGTTTTAAAAAAGTCCAGTTATTAAGGAAGATAAAATAATTAAAATTTGGATTGTAAGGTCTTCAGAACAGAGGTCTATTTCTCATAAATGTAGCTATGTCAAACAAAGCCCTTTCCAGCTGTACTGTTTAAATTGACAGCTGAGCTCTAGTTCTTGAAGCAGTGCATTCAAATGCTGAGATCACAAATGAGGCATCGGCTTTCTTGCAATTCTACAGACAGTGGAGATTGTGTGGAATGAAAGCTTTCATCCTTGGTTGTCATTTGATAGCTGGAGCTTTCAGCCGAAGGAACACAGCATAGAGGTGGCGGCTTTGTCTTAATCAGTTGTCATAACCTGAAATATTTTGAAGGCAAAGGATAACTATTAGTGAACACTTTAATATGGAACAAAACCCACCAATTAATGGATGTGTAAAACAAAGCATGGCTGGATTCAGCCATAACTTCTGAATACAGGTAGTCCTCGCTATCTGACCACAGTAGGGACCGGAATTTAGATTGCTAAGTGATTTGGTCATTAAGCAAATCAGAGCTGATTTTATTACCTTTTTACCACGGTTGTTAAGTGAATCCAGCTTCCCCAGTGGACATTTTTTGCCAGAATTTGCTTAACAACCGCAGTGATTCGCTTAACAATCATTGTAAAAAAGGTCGCAAATCGCAATCGTGTGACCGTGGGGGTTGTAAAGCACTTTTCCCAAGGCTATCATAACTCCGGACCATCGTTAAATGGTCACTAAGTGAGGACTCCATCTATGCTAGAACCACAGAAAGCTTTAACTAAACCCCTGCTTTTCAGCAACCCATCCCACTAAGTTTTCTTCCTCAGCCAGTTAAGCCTTTTGTCAAACTTCGCTTTGTAGTGGGAGCCCCCCTGCCCCTCCTTATGAACCACCTCTCACTCGAGCAGGTGCTGTATAACTCCAGTGGAAGGGCAGTTATCCTATTCGTATCCTCCACATACTTATGCGTCCTTCCAGCTGAACAACTCTCTCGGTGCTCTTCCTTCATTGCTGCTCATATGCATGGAGTTCCCCGATTTGGGATGACCAGATTGCTCTTGAAGTCTCTAACATTTCTGCAGAAGCCTGGCATTTATTTTGAAGCTTTGGGGGCTACAGGTTAAAGGAAAAGGACATAGATGAGTTGCTGTTGACTTTTTCAGTAGCCTTTTCCTGGTTCTAGCGTGTGGCAAGCTCTGCAAATTATGACAAACACTAGACCAGTGTTTCTCAACTTTGGCAACTTTAGGACACGTGGACTTCAACTCCCAGCATGGCTGGCTGGGGAATTTTGGGAGTTGAAGTCCACGTGTCCTAAAATTGCCAAAGTTGAGAAACACTGCATTAGACTGAAGCGTAGGAGCAGGCTGGGGATTTCTTTGTGTTGTTGTCATCATAGGGCTGTGGAGAGCCTCTGCAGGATGACATGGCTCTGACTCTGGACTGAATGTGGGCGCTTAGAACCTCAAAAATACAGGCTCACCTGAGTTTGGAGGATGGAGATGATTTTTCCTAAATTTGCATGGTGTTTCAAAAGCTCGTAGACATTATTTGAGGCTTTAAAAGACAGTAGGGACCACACCCACCTCCTTCATGTGTTCAGATTTGGGCTAGTTGGTAAGATTGACTGGCATGCAAGAATCTCCTGTAAATTTTTGCATGTCTGTTTAGCTCCAGAATTGACTCAGAGCAAAATATATCTTGGGTTACAGGACATGAATGTAGGGGTGAGGCAGATATTTAGCCAGAGGCATGCTTTGGCCAAACCAAATCTGGTGCAGCCTGAATGGGCTGCAAACCCTCAGAACGTTATCACAGGATTACACTTCCTCCATCCCAGGTGACAGGTTGGCAGGCTGGCCATTTTGGCCTAAGAGGAGGTAAGTTTGGGTTTTGTGCTTCTGCTGAAAACCCAAAGCTGCTGCACAAAGAATGCAGAATGTTAAGGATAATAATTTTAGACAATTAATGAAGAGATTTCTCTGATGTATAAGGGCATAAGAACCATCAGCAGTTGCTGTAAGAAGCAAAGTGCCACAAAGGACTTGTTTGTACCTGAAAGACTTACACACTGGCATAAACTGTCGTGGACTCAGAAAAGACAGTTTACTCCGCTTTATTCAGATACATGTATTTTGTCCAATCCTGTGCTGTGATTCCAGAAAGTACTGTGGCCCCATATATCGGGCCGGTTTACCCCACTTAAAGCAGCCTCCCTTCTTCAAGCAGCTTCTGCCTCCTTTTCAGCCATGAAATCGAAGCTGTCCACGGTCGCCAGCCTGCACGTCTACAGCATCCAGAAAGCCCTGCTGAAGGACAGCAGTCCCCTCTTCAACACCGACTACGACATCCTCAAGGCAAATCTCGAGAACTGCAGCAAGTGAGTTGGCTCTTGGCAATGGAGCTGAGCAAGCTGGGCGGGGCTTTGCTCAATTTCAAGGTTATATGCAGATCTTTGGCACCCATTGAAGATGGTCTTTATTGTATCCTTAGTGTAACTCTAGTTTTTTCTTTTTTGTTTTAATTCTTGCCTGGAATTCCCTCCCCCACCCAGTTCCCTGAAAAACTAATTTTCTACTGGCATTCCCAGTTTGGAAACTCTGTATTTTACCCAACTTTTGATTAAACTTCCTTTATGAACTAAATTATACCAAGCCACATCACTGCTGTATCTGTGTCTATTTTAAGGAACACTGTGGTTAAAGTATCTTTGCAGACCAGTTAAGTAAAGAGATGCTCTGTTTGGTTGGATGAGGGACTCTTAGGCTGAGATGCCATTCAAGGCCCATGTATATCAAAAATAATCCAAACTTTTCTTAGACTGCATTCAAAATGCATTGGCCATTATTTTCATGAATTATCAGCCAGGTGTATTAGCATTTTAATAAATATCTAAGCAATCCTTTCCCTGTGCAGTTCTTCCCCACGGCTTCCAGAGACTATTGGGAATGTTGGACTTTAAAGCAGCTTTTCTCAACTTCAGCAACTTTACGACGTGCGAACTTCAGCCCCCAAAGTTCCCCTGCCTTTATTTATTTATTTAATATATATTTTATGTAGCCACCCATCTCACGCAGAGCGACTCTGGGCAGCATATAACAAGTAAAATAACAATAGACAAAAATTATTGAAATGATTATTATTAAAATACAACATCATCAAAATTCAAATGTTTTAAATAGACAAGCCCCACAGAGAGAGCAGAATATCAATCATGGTGGAGCCATCTAACAATGTCTCCAGTTCCAAAAGACCCCCAGGCCTGATGACGTAACCATATCTTGAGGGACTTCCTAAATGACAGCAGGGAAGGGATGCTGGCTGGGAATTCTGGGAATTGGAGTCCACACATCTTAAAGTTGCAGAAGTTGAAAAAGGCTGCTCTGAAGGACAGCAGCGAAGGCAAATGAGGAATCATTCAGTTGTTAACTAAATATATTTCGTTATATTTATATAGCCTTGATGATGCTCCCTGAGTGACTGCCAATTTTATATCTATCCTTGGATCTATTTATTTTCTATTTATTTAGGATTATTGTATGTTGCAATTTTAATTGATTTTAACCATACCAACAACACTATCCAGAGTTGTTTCAATGAGATGGGCGGTGACAAATTTGATATATTAAATAAATAAATACATAAATATTTGTTCTGTTCCTAGGTTTAGTGCTATCTGCTGTGCTGCCGCAGTCACCAGGCCTGTTGCTGAGAGCCCTGCCCAGGTTCCCCCGCAGCCTCCGCCTGCCTCAAATGTGCTCGATGCTCCTGTGGTCAACAGCCCTGCTCCGAGCACGTCTTCAAAGCAGCCCGCCCAGCAGATGAAGGGCATTATGGGAATGTTTGCGCCCAAACCAGCCACCAAATCCAAGAATACTCATAAGGAAGCTAAACTGGAGGCTAAAGAGACACCCAGTGTAAGTTTTCAGGCTTAACTACTCTGTGAAAAGAACCCTCCACTTTGACCTCAGGGCAGGTGAGAAAGTGCATACTTTTCTTTAGGTTTCTGGCCAGTTTCAAGCAGAAGATTTCATGGAGCCTGGTGTCTCTCTGTTGTCTTTCAGTCTCAGTTTATCTTCAGGCTAGTAGAACAGGGTCAGCACTTGGGGTCTTATGGGCAGTCCTGCCCTGCAGAATTTTATCTGCTAGGCTGATCCGTCTGTAGGAATTAAATGCAAATGGAAGTTTTCCTACTAACTGCCCATCTCCTGCTGTACTGGCCGGAAGCTGTGGCTTCAGGAAATAGGTAGTAGTGCTGTATTTGCTTGCTGAACATTGATATACCTAGCAGGACAAACCACAAATAATCAGTACAGGTCACTGTGTGGAAATGATGTGGGTTAGGAATATAGAAAGATTTTATGCTAAGATTGTATGCTTTATGCAGGGTAATATATTCTCTTGTCACAAATAGTTACAGATAAAAGTAGCACAGACAATGCACATTGGGGTGGCTCTTGCAACCTGGAGTAAGAGAGAGAAATCCCAAGCAAGTCTCAAATCTATTCAAACTACGTTCCTGAAATATCACATGCCTGTAGAACATGCACGGTTAAGGCAGGATCTGAGTTACATCATTCTGTTAACATGATCGTGATGTGACAAATGAGTGTGATCAAGTCAAGATTATTAATGGCTATAATTAACTTGATGCAAAGACAGGAAAAATCATTTCTTATTTTCAGAAGACACATTGACCTAAAGCACGCACAAGAGAGTTTTGCTTCCTACGTAGCTTAACTGCCAGTAGGCTAGAAAGAAAATACACCCACAGAAGCCCAGGTATATTCTTAAGGTGCAAACTAGTATAAAAGATTACCAGAGAGTAGTAGGAAATAAAATAATAACATAATCATTTGCCAGATAAGTAAGTATTTTTTAAATTTCTGGTGCCATCCATCTCGCCTAGCAATTCTGGGCAGCTAACGTGCTAAAAACATCCATATAATGTACATAAAAAACTAATAAACACATTAAATCATGCAAATCAAAAAAACCAAAAAAAAAGGGTAATGTGTACTATGATAAAATCTTTATAAAGCCATCAGCCTAGTCTCATCAAACCCAAGTGGAATAGTAAAGGCTACTTGACTCCAAATTCAGGCATGATGTGCTCAGATATGAGACTTTATTCCAAGACTAGATCTTGAGCCCCAAGGACCTTACCTGTTAGACTTGTGGGTTGCTAACCACAAAATAAAACTCACAAAACATAAAGATCAAATCTTTTGATATAGATGTAATCAAAATAGCCCAAGGGACAGAAAACATTTCCGCAGCCCAGATAACAGGTGATAACATTATAGAAGCAGGAAGTTGGGGCAAAGCACTGATAGCATTGAGCGAAAAGCAAAGTTCAGGCAAAGTTGGAAGGTTTTGAGCAAGCTAAACGCAAAGTAAGGTCACAGAGCAATGTGAAACTGACTAGCAACTGGGTCACCTGGAGACCAGGTATACACTGCAAGAGAAGGGGCCAGAGTTGAAGTGAGCAAGCAAACATCATCACATTCTTTAAAAAGTTGGTCATGATTGGCTTTTCTAAGGCCATGAGCTCCCAGCAAAGCATTCCTGGTGCAGGACTTAAGGCCGTACATTCTTCGCAGGAAAATCTGTGGAGGGCAACCCAGAATAAGGTCAGCCGGACTGTGATCTAGTTTGCCCCCCCCCCCCCAGCTGTCTCTGTCCCTGAATTGAATTATTTGACTAAGAGATTCCCAAATATGTGACATTTGGGCTGGGTTTGCCCAGCAGATGGCCAAAATGTCTAGGGAAAACGGTTCTAAAGTATAGCTTCTATGCTTGCAGAGTGGGGAAACGTTAGGAAGCATTCCTAATTCGGGCATTCTGCCCAAACTATCTCCTATATGTCTTGCTAAAAAAACAAGTAAGCCCTTCTCTTCCCTAGTACAGTGGTACCTCGGTTCATGAACTTAATTCGTCCCACGATTCTGGTCGCAAACCAATTGGCCACGAACCGAATCAAATTTCCCCATAAGGTTCAATGTAAATAAGGTTAATTCGTTCTGAACCATATGTTTTTTTTTTTTTT